TTTTGCTGTGGTGATGGTGAGGGTGAGGGTGTCGAGGGTGTCTGTATTGGTGTTGTGTTTGCTGATGCTGGTGATGATGTTGTTACTTGACTCGAGCTAAGCGGTGACTGTGCTGTTTGAGCGGTCTGTAATCCATGTTGTCAATCATGAGAAACCCGTGAAACGAGGCAAAAGTGACTGGGAAGCATACCTCTTGCGCCGGCTTAGAAGCCGAGCTACCCAACAACTGCTCTATATCCTCTGGCGAGATGCCCTTGGTCTTGAGGAACGACTCTTTTGCTTCCCTCGGCGCGTCCTTGATCTCGTCATCCTGCAGGAACTTGCGGGCGACTTCGAGGCTGTCTTCGCGGGAGGGGACATCGTCCTGCTTCGCATCCTGCGAGGTGGTGGTCTCCGGCTCGAGTTCGGGTTCTTTCTTTTGGTCGCGCTGCCATGACGGAATGCCGGGCGTGCTGCCGCTATCGTCGGAGTCGCTCATGGTTAGAGTAAAGGAATTGTGCCCTGTTGCAGTAGAAGGTTTGCAACGGTGTGTCTGTGAGAGCTGTCGATGTTGGCGCAATATTGAATCGCGAATGAGCCGGGCGCTGGTCCGGAGGGCGGATTATTGATGGGGTCGGCGATTCGGCACCTATGACCACATGCCTCGGCTGGGGAAGCGGGAAACGGAAGAGGCTGGACGTTCTTTACGGGGATCACTGTTCCAGCACGTAACGGCCATTTGCTGACCTGGAGGCCCTTCAGTTCTACACGGTGCTGGGCCCAATGCACGGTGCCCATGGCGACCACCCCAAAAACGGGGCTTCCGTTTTCGACATCCGGCGCGCTTCAGCGGACTTCAGTGCTCTGGTGAAAGGCTGAACTCAAGGTGAGTAAGAACCGGACCAGCACAAGCAATTCTCATTGAGAATCCGTCTCAACTATAGCAATCGTTATCCAACTCTCGCCCGCCTCGAAAATCCCCTCAAGGTGTACTCCGTACCAGGTTCACTCCTGTTTCAAGCCAACAAAGGCTTTCAATCGGGATCATCCGATTCGCTCTGCCGCGTGGTCACCGACGATCTCCAACCGTCTCTTCAACTGGGCCGTCCTTCACCGACACACCTCGCCGCGCGACCAAGGATTAAGGTAAGCTCGCACCGAGCCAATTGCTCATGTTACTGTGTACCAGATGAGCAGGAGATAGTTGGGAGTGGACTCGCTAAGTAAAGGGGGACAGGATCGAAAGCTCACGCGCCAGGGGTTGAGAAACCAAGCGTCACACGAACGAAACGCAGGTGAGCAAAGAAAAGAGAAGAAGCGACAGCTGCAGCACGCGCACAGGAGGCGACAAGATCCAATCGATCCCAAAGGTCTCAGTTCCCGTCTTCCAGGGGGTTCACTTTTTTTTTCTGCCTTCTGCGGCTTGGCTTGGCCACAGCCACCAAAACCGTCCCAGCAAGGTTGCTCTGTGTGCCTGGTATCCAGTTGTGAGGGCGATAGGCCACCAAAAAGGCGATTATCCATCCCACTTGCCGTCCGCCTGTTTGCGCGCGCCCATCTTGCTTGCTGCGGCTAAGCGTCGTCTATCCTCCGTAAGGTATCAATCAATCGGTAAGCTCAAAATCCCATCGCAGATGCGACCTCTTCCTTTTAGCTTTTTCCTTGTCACTCCGTCACATCTTCACGCTGCACCTGCATCAACCTTCACCTCGTACTTGTCTCTTCTCCTTCAAATCACAAGATCAACATCGCCGGATTGCTGTGCCAAGTCAAGTGAGGCAAGCGGCAACGACATCGATACTCCAATCAACATCCCTGAGAAGAAGGAGAAACTATATCGGCCGGGGTTGTGCACACTCTGCGAATCCGATTCTCTTCCACGAGATACCTTAGTCCTGTTGAAAAGTGGCCGTGTCGAGTTTTGAGAGTCCCCGGGCGGTTTAACAAGAAACCGAAAAAGGCGCCCCGCGCGTGCGTGTGCGATTCATTAAGAAAAAGAAGGCGTTGAAACCTACCTGGGCTAAAGTTGCATCTCGGCCAACTACACTGACTGCCTTACCTCATCTCCCGTATCAAGGGATCAGATTCCCTAGCAGCGGTGCCACCTCACCTTTCCCCTTCCCCTTCCTTGTCTGGACCGGCCCCCCGAGCTTACCTTAATTCAACCTCCCGTGTCCAATCTTGGATGAAAAACTCCCCCACCATCATCCCGAAACCACCCTAAACCTTTTCACTCCGAGATATCACATCGTCATTCCGTACCTAAACCGCTCATACGTGGCGTAATCCCCCTTCGCGCGTTATTGTTCTTCTGCCAAGACAATTCACGAGACAGATCAGCCTTCGCATATACCCAAGATATGGCTTCGCGACCGCGCCGCTCGGCGGCCAAGAAGGCGCAAGAACAGATTACTGACTGGGCCGATAGCGAGCGAACCAGCAGCATGTCTACCCGTGCTCGCCGTTCAGATGGCCGGACCTCGGGCGTGTCCCGCGGCCCGCCTTCGTCACCAGGCAGTGAGCACCTGAACCTCACTGTCAAGGTACCCGCGAATAAGCTTCGCGAGGCCACCAGCAGGGGACGGAACTCGACGGGGAATAGCATTTCGGTCAACAGCGAGGTCGTTGCCGGCAGACGCAACCGTGGCCCGAAGAAGAGCTACGTTGTGGAATCCGATAGCGATGAGGAGGAGGAAGACGAAGACGAGGAGATGGAGGAGCCTGACGCTGATGGCGACGACGACGACATGGAAGTCGACGCCGAGGGCGAGGAGGAAGATGCTGATGGCGACATCGACATGGACACCCCTGCGGCCCCCACCATCAAAATCTCCTTACCCAAGGCTGGAAAGGTCACGCCTCGACGACCAGCAGCGGCGAGAGTGATTGAGGACGACGATGATGACGAAGAGGAGCTCAGCGAGATTGAAGTCAGTGACCCTGAAAACACGATGAACATGAGCATCGACGTTGGGGGCGCTGGCGACGACGATGATGACGACGACGAAGACGAGGAAGATGAAGAAGAAGATGCTGAAGGTGAAGAGGAAGATGCCGAAGGTGAGGAAGAAGACGCCGAGGGCGAGGAGGAAGAGGAGATTGAAGTCGCGGACGAGACTGTGGGAGCCGATGCCGAAGGCGAGCTCGACAGCGATCTGGGCAGCCGTGAGGGCACACCCGATTTGACCAAGATGACGAGGAGACAGCGGGCTCGCTTCGAGGACGAGCCTCAGCAGTATATGAAACTTTCAGACGGTAAGAATGCGCTGTTTTGCGAGGAATCTTGACGAAAAAGCAGACGCTGACATGGAATCACAACAGAGGTCCAAGCAAAGAAGGTCTTCACTGCTGAAGAGTTATCGATGAGAAGGGCAGAAATGGCACGTCGACGACGCAACCTGTCTGACAAGCGCAACGAAGAAGTCAAGGCAAGTATTATCATTATTTGCGGATGACTGGGCCATGAACAGGCGTATGCTAACTTCCAAACAATAGATGGAAACCATCAACAAGCTTTTGAAGAAACAGGCGCCCAAGACCAAGGGCAAGGGAGCCAATGGCGAGGATACGCCCGGCGGCGACTCATCGAAGCCCGACGTCGCCTTTGTCCGCTGGGTCAACTCCAAGAAGGGCAGCATCGTTGCTGTGCCCGAGGAGATCATTGGAGGGCCGGCTGGCAAGGTATTTGGACCTCCAGGTTTGAAATCTGGCAAGATGGTTGAGGAAGTCGCATAGAGAGACATCGATGCGCTAACCCCCTTTCTTGCGGCTTGGCTATTATTCTTCGAGGGATATCACAAGCTGTATTCGAGTTACGAGACACCTGAAATATAGATGGGAGTTTACCTCCGCAGTCACAGAGTTTCGTTTTGGGCCCCGGGGGGGGGGCGCTGGGCGAAAATTGGCATCATTTCACAGTACACATAATCAGGAGTAGCCTACAACCAAGTAACGAATCTAGACTTTTTTTTCAAAGGGCATATCACTCAATCACTTGAGCCTTATCCCTAGAAGCACGCAGCTCGCGGGGGGGGGGGGGGTTGTTGGGTTATGTGAAGAGATCAGCTCACTGGTTGCAAGTCATGAAATACATTTGATCTTCGGAGCTGGCCGTCCGGTCTGTCGTCAATCCAGCGCTCAACACATGAGCGATCCGGCTGTGGGGTGATGTGACGAGCGACGATCCTTACCACGCTACGGCGCATCCCCGTTGCACAGAGGTGGAGGAGCACAGTGGCTGGCTTAGATAATCACCTTGGTGGGAGATCCTTGCAGAAAGTGAGAAGGCGTCAGTCATGTGGTGTCTCTCCCCCGCCTCAGACCTTGCCTGAAAGAGTTGAAGCAATTGCATTTGCTCCTCCGCAAAGATACGGAGTAGCAATGGATACACTACACAGTACGCAGTAAAGATTCTGGACCGAGGTTTTGGTCGAGCGTTGAGTTTTGTCCACGGGCGTGTTTTCAAGCACCGAGTCCGCTAAGCAGATGAAGGCCAAGTAAGGTAGCGATCTTGGACAAAGCTTGAGTAAGGTATCTGTAAGTGGCTTGCTCTCCTCTCTATGGATACTTGGTCCGATGGACGGAGTGCGTCGCTTGCTTGTATAATCATCCCCCGAGCCTCATTGCCGATATGTGCGAGTGGTGCGATGTCCGAAAGAAAAGGGGCGCGCACGTTGAAGCGGATCTGGGGCAAGGATAAATATGGGGTTGTGATTTTAACCGTCGAATGCTGCCGTTGAAATGATTCTGATGGATTAGAAATGTTCAGCGTCATGATTCACCGGCCGGGGTTGTCTAATCTCTCGGTTGGAGTTGAACTCTGTTTCTTCCAGTCAGCAAGCTTATATCCCTCTGGATGACTGGTATACCGTACAGCCTACAGTAGTACCTACCTCGGTAAAATGCTCTGGTACTGGATCAGAGTGGTGGTGGTGGTCGACTGCAGCTCTCCACGTCTGGGGTTGTTCATGTTTCTTTCGTGGTCCAGGGAGCCAACCACACCCCGGATCTGCACCTGCAAGAAGCCGGGATGGGGGTTGATTGAGGCCTACCTACTGCGGTAAGGTATTACAGGCTACAATATGGGTCGAGCTTACTGGTCGGTGAACATGAGGGAAAATCAAGCAGCGAACCAGATTGGCAAACTCAAGGAGATTGGTAAGTCAACAAGCCGCAGGCAAGCTTCCAAAGATGTAGAGCAATCAAGCAAACTCACGGGCACGCTGCAGCTCGCCAGAAGCTGCTTGGGGGGCAGAGAACTCCCGTCCTTTTGGCTTGTCATGCCAAGCCAATGACAGTGTCCTAGCTTGGAGACGGCTTCAAGCTGGAGGACCCTCTTTCTCGGACTCTACTGTGTTGGTACCGTGTACGAATAGAGGTGCTAGGCAGTGAAAGGAACGCGATACCGACAGGAGCAAAAAGGCCCAGGTTTGCCAGGCTGGGACAGCTGACCGACGAGGTTTTCCAAGTGACATCGATTTCTGTGAGGTGAGAGGTGAGCTCGGATCCGATGCCGACGGCGATGTCACTCTGGGAGGGCAAACTTTTGCAGAGCCATGTCGCGTGGACAATCACACCAAAAGTCCACTCTCTCTCTCTCTCTCGTCTCCCCACTTTCCTGGCCATCGAAAGCGCAAGGCCAACCTTGAGGCTAAGGTAAGAGTGAGTTCGCATGTTTTCACCATCATAGGTAGGTAGGCAGGTGCAGGTCGGCAAGCACCTTGCCAAAACTTGCCGTCCCAAGGTGACTTTTCGCGGTATTCGACGATACCTAATTTACCTACTGTAGAAAGTACACCAGAGGCAAGGTACCTACCTACCTAAGATAGAGGTGGCACTTGCTGACAGGCACAAACTCAGGCGTGAGGGCAAGTGCAACTAAGGTGGTGACATTGGACTTTTGTTCCCTGGTGTTGCTTGGTGGATGTTCTCCGTACTGTATGATGGATCCCTGCCCACCTTTTCTTAACCTTTGGGAAGGAGGGAAAAACTGGCCCTGGCGGGTGGTTTCCCAACTAGCGTAAGACGCAAGAAATAGAGTCAGAATTGCCTTTCGCTTCTTTTCTGACTTTTTTTGCTTGCCCGACCGAACTTCATGCCTTGTTGGACCCTGGAACGCCCCCTCGTCTCGTACACGTGTAGTAGGAGTGCGAATACTCGGGCTGGGTGATCCCCTTCTTTCACATACCATGGCGTTACCTTCTTCGCACGCCGAGGCGCCATCCACTGCTACGTCCATGCCCAGCCAACAAGATCACCACCACCTTACGTCTGCATCTGCGACTGCGTCTGATTCTATTCCTGCTACTGCAGCTGCTACTGCTTCTGCTCCCCGCGGCGACGAGGTCACCGCTCCTCCTTCGTCAGATCAAGGTGAGTGAACGAGACACAGGACGCTAAACCGAGATGGTCCTGGCACCTTCTGCCTCCTCTCCTTGACCTTCTCTTTCACCCGCACTACTAGGTACACGCATACACGCACTACACAGTACAGGCATCAAGTCCGATTGCCTGGTGTAGCCTGGCCCTTTCTTCACTTGTCCATCCTCCACCTTTTTTTTTATATCTATTCCCATGTGCCTCCCCCCAGAATGCCCCAATACCGACCGAAATGGAATAGGTGGTAGATAGAGCAAGGGTCTGGACCATCTTGGCTTGCCCGCCGACACTTGACTCCAATACCTACCTATTCATATACGATGCCAAAGAGTGGCAGCACTACTCCAACACGGCTCCTCCTCCTTCCTCCTTTACCCCGTTTTCATTTTGTTCACAACACCCTGGATGCGGTGCATGTTGCATGACTTATGAGTGTCGTGTTGCACAAAACCAAAACAGCGGATAGGCCGTATACATGACAAAATTGATATAACTGACAATCCAGCCCCCTTGGAAACCAACATCAGGCCACCCGCGGCCGCGACCACCACCCCAGTCCCAGTCCTAGTCCCGGTCCCAGATCCAGACGTTGACGCGCCCCAGCTCCATCGCCCTCACCCGCACCACCAGCCCACCCCGCACGCGACTGCGACGGAGACGGCTGCGGCTGCTGCTGCGACGCCGCCAGCATTAGCTGCCATTGCTACTGCGACGCCCACGGCAACCCTGCCCGGAGCTTCACTTGCCCTTCATATAAAGCGGACGGCGCCCAGTTCCTCGTCCCTCGACTCGCCTCTCATGCCTCCTGCTTCTCCTTCCTCGTCAGCTGCGCCGTCGGCCAACCCCCCGTCACAGCCAAACCCTCACCCTTCCTCCTCGAACTCCAAGATGCTCTTCTCAGACATGTACAAGTCCCCGCGCTCACCGCTGGCCAAGTTCCGTCTGTCCATGTCACAGCAGCCTTTGGCCTTGGACTTGCCCGACTACGATCCTGATCTGCTTAGCAAGGACAAAGAAAAGCAAAAGGCAGCTGTCAAGAAGTACTTGACCGCCAAAATTCGCAACGATTGGGAATTCGTATGGCCACCAGTCGCACCCCCGCCCCAAAACGGCGATGCTACACCCGATGTTAGTGCAACACCCGAACAGGACACCGCCGAGAAACCGCAACAAGAAACTTCTGAACCAAAGGTTGAAGCTACGGCGACCTCGAATGATGAAGCTATCCACAACACAGACAGCGAAGAAGAAGACGACGAAGAGGAAGACAGCGACGCTGAGTCCGTCTACAGCACCGTCTCAGAAGATGCCGCGCGTTTCAAACCTCGCCTAGAATGGGTGTCTGACCTGTCCGACGAAGATCCTCCCCTATCTCTCTCTCCATTCCGTTTCGACAGCCCCGATGCAATCGGCGCGACAGTCAAGGCTTCTATAGCAGACAAGCGTGCGCGGAGACGGCGAGCCCTACGTGAGGAGATGGAATGGAATGAAGGGTTGGCCTGCTTCGAGGCCAGGCGCAATGCCTGGACAGGCGCAAGAACGGTGCGCGTTCGCACAAAGCCCGTTTCCCCTACCCAGACGTTCTCTCCTCTCTCCCCACGCCGCCTCTTCTTCCGCACTTCATTCTCCCATCCTCAACCCGCTCCTGCCTCACCAGCGTCGCCTGCGCACTCTCTGCAACAGCGGGTAAGCAACGAAGCCTCAGCCGCTGTATCAGACGGCTCTGAGCTCTCAAAAGACCCGTCCAAGGAACTCACGGCGATAAAGTCGAAAGAGTCTCAAAAGTCAACGGCATCTCCCACAACAACGACATACCCCGTCGAGACACTCATTCCCGTCCCGGCGCCACTGCTCCCACCGGGTAACCCAATGCGCGCATCTATTACCCCCTCCGTGTACATTTCCCTGTACGAGAAGGTGATAGTCCACGCGCTGACACCCTCATGTCCCGTCAACTTGTCAGACATGATCCGGGCGTGCGTGGTTGGCTGGAAGCGGGACGGCGAGTGGCCACCGAAGCCCTCGGCCGCGGAACCCGGTATCGTGGCCGTACGACGGCGCAAGAAGTCAGTGACGGACGGGCAGGGCCCGAATCCCACTCGTAGGATGAGCTTCGGATTCTTAGGCAGAGGCGAGAAGGCAGCCGAAGGCCAGGACGACGGCACCGGAAAGGGTATCAGGAAGAGCCTTCAAAGAGTGCTCGGTCTTGGGCATCACCATACTGCCTCCACTGGCTCCGCCAATGGGGGCAACAACGGCGCATAGATGGGAGACGCATTGCCACGGTGCAAACTTCTCCTTTACGAAGGATGATGATTATGATGAAAGGAGATTTAATACGGATGATCTTTTCCTTTGGGTAATAGGCATCTCGAGGGCACAAAATGGGCTTGAATATGGAGGTTCCATGGGTTGGTGACTGCATGGGACGGGAAAGTTGTTCTTGCGACAGATACCCATACAATTCAGTAGTTGGACAGTCAGTGACAGCGTGCCACATTAATGAACACGGTTCTCTTGGTGCAGAACATGGCTTCGACATCTTGTTTGCTATTGATGACATATCAACACGGACCAGAGCTCAGTTGTTGTGAAATATACCGTTCATGCCTTCAACTACAAAGGGATGAATTGAATATCTTACCATGCATAGCTTAGCGGTTATCTAGTAGACAGAGTTGTTGTGAGAAAAGTAAAAGATAACTATCCTCCTGGCGTCAGCATGGTGGCTACGATGGGGTTGGAATAATGTGATGTCGACAAGCCATGTCGAGGCATAGACGTATAAATGGAAAATGGATGACATGATACAGATCCGCGAGTAGGAACTCACTGCAGATACCTCGCTTCAAAAGGGGGCAAGCTATGCAACAAAATTCATCTCCTTCCTGGAGCTGAGCGTGTCCTCTATTCAGAGTTAGATCTTAACCCCGCGTAAAACTTCATTTCCAGGATGGGAAGGATCTACCCTTCGATACTTCCTCCTTTTACTTTCCTACCGTATTGGAGTCCTCGTACATGAGTATGCGATGGCTTCACGAGTGACCAGCAGTCTTGAACCGTAGCCTCCTGTCTCGAACTATCCAGTTGGTGGTATCTTGTTTTTCTTTGAGTTTAAGCCGCTCCTCAACGACTGAGATCAAGACCAAACATAAGTGTGAGATCACGGCAACGCAACTTGGTTGCTTGAAGATTTCGCATGCTCCGGTACCGATAACTCGCTCACTTCCATGCATGCAAAGCTCACTAGGGATGAGAACGGTCAGAGGCATCACCCTCCCCTATGAATTTGGCCAACTGCCATACATAGACACCGCAAACAAGGCACCATCGGTGAACGCAACTTAATGGAATCCCTTCACTCCCTCCATAACCACATGCGCAAAGAATGGTTGTGTATAGCTGCGACCAGTGATTTCTTTCACGCACAAGCTGGTTGAGTATAGGGAAGCGTCATTTCACAATCATCAATATTAAAAAAAAAAAAAAAAGAAATAAAAAAAAAAGGAGCGAATTCCCTTTCATGATAGCAGCAATCACATACGTATAAGGCTCTTGATGAAGTATAAAAACGAGGGCGCTAACTAACTGAACGTGGGATCATACATAAGAGACATTGAGCCTTAGAGCAAGTCGCCAACTACCACATGTCCATGGACTGGACTCCGGCTAACACAGGGTGAACCCATTATTTCAGGAAATGATCCGGGATATCTTTCTCTTCCAAGCAAGGTGCATTACAGCAGCCTTCTCCTCGCATCAGGCTCACTTGATTGGGGTATGATTCAATCCGTTCAATCACGTGAGTAAAGGATCTCATCAGGTTTAAAGAAAAGCGTGACCGCTGTGTCTGAATGGGACAAGCCTAGGAGTTGCTGCTAGTATACCTTGAATAGTGGTAGAGCGATTTGGTCATAATGAGTTAATGACGGGGTAACTTATTGCTCATTTCAGGGGTCGATAATGAGAATTCTCTTATTCTCCAGGCATTGTTCCGGAATTTCTTCTCTATCTGGCTCGCCCGAGTGGATGCGACGTATAATTTCACGAATAATTTGGAACGAGAGTCGACTATAGGTAGGGCTTGCTCAAGCTTTATATGTGACGTATCCGTTCACGAATACGTTCAAAGGCAGAGCTGACGATACATGAGAGCTGGCTGTAAAGCAGAGGTACAGACTTGTGTGGGGACTAGTCATAAGGACACCATCATTATGATTGTAATCATTGTCATTAGAGACGGACAGCCGCGTTCGCCTACAGCCAGCCAATCCCGCTCTGCCGGATTGGAGACGGTCGAGTGCAGAGGCACACCACTCCATGAAATGGGCTTCCCCCGTTTTATACCTTAGCATAGCTGACTCCGTCCCCGTGCAGAAAATATACTGGAATTTACTCGCTCTGGTGGCTCTCAGTATCCATGCTTGCGTTTAACCCAATAAACCCAACTTGGCTGGCTCTCCTGTCCATACGGTGGTTGCTGATTTTCGACCTTACCTAGTATATTGCTCTCTCGATAATGACAGTATGATGTTGCGGCTACTACGGTTCCCAGCCGCCTTTGATCTTACCATGGGGTCAAGACGCCTAGTGAACGTAGGAAGCCAAGCCTGATCAGTCCAGCACCTTATACACTGGAGGTTTCCGTACAACCTTAACTACTTAGCTCCCAATATCTATCTCCCCTTACAGTAAGCCTGCTGGTAATTTGCTCTTTCTTAGATGCATCAGAGGGATCCGGCACCAACATTCAACTTGTCTGGAGTGCTGGTCTGTCTCGACTCCAAGGGCTTCTCATCAAGATAGACCTAGGTACCTACTTTGACAAAAGTAGATGACAAGATCACGAGTTCAGACTGGAGGTATCCTACGAGTATTTTGATGACGTTGGACCTTAAAGGTTCACTAGCTCCCCGAGTCGGTCAATGAGTATCACGAGAGGCCACTCAACGGTAGTTAAGGTGAGGACGGCCTCATAACCATGGAGATGTGATCCGAACCTCTATATTCTCCCGGCCATAAATACAAGACTGGACTCCTCAACTAAGTGGGATGGAACACCAGAGCCATCGGCCGCTCGCAGTTCTCCGCGTTTAGTGACACGCGCGTTATTCATCTTTGCCCGCAAGGACGTCGAACTATTAGATATACATTCCTACTCAAGTAATTTCCGCCTCCAAATTACACTCTTCATCATCTTACGAATATTCCGACCGGACTACACCGTATACACCAAATGATGTTTAAGGGCATTATCTACAAGTGAAAGAAGATAAGGAAATTCATACTTTATGCTTGTGAAAGGTAGCCTCATCTGAACGGTGGGCTTCCAGCAGCAGATTGACAAGGAACTGGCCACCTCGGTTCGAGAAAAAAGCATGGCTGACAGAGCGCTATAAGCCGAGAAGGTGAAGCAGCAACCACTTTTTATATCAGAGAATTGAAGACCAAGCAAGAGATCTCTGCTTAGATAGCTCTCCATACCAACCGTAACATGGCTCTATCTCATGGAGGACGACGTAGGATACAGCTCAGCTCAACTCAGCTCAAGCGGGCCATCTTATGCCACAGGTGCTCCAGCCGAGGAAGCGCGTCGCATCTCGAGCAATTCCATCGAGGGAGAAAAGTAAACTCTGAAGCGTGTAGGGAATGTACAATACGTTGTGAGCAACACGCCAGCGTTTGGAAAGCAAAAGGCTCGAAGTTGGTGGTGACTTTCCTACAACATGTCAGCTCGAGAGTTCACTGTTCCAAGTTGAGGCACTGCCATCTGACTGCTTCAGGTGTCGTTGGCCAAGTAATGACATCGTGTCGTTGCGTTGATTGGCAAACTAGGGCAAGTAACATCGTCATTTGAACAGTGAGAAAGCAAGAGCTTGTCTGGACCTGTCAGGAAAGCGGAACAAAACGCATGTGAACCACAAGCTGTATGGGACATAATTACGAGCAAGTACGTCACTAGTCGGAAAGCACGGCGAGTCACTTGCATGGTGGGAAAACGGCTGAAGAAATAAGGAGATTCTCTCAACTACAAGAGGAATTAAGTAGATTTCTTGGTACACAGCTCACAAAAGAGACTTGGATTGAGCTAAGAAACCTCCCCGTTCCATCGTTCCTCTTCTATACACAGGCTCAACGCCCCAACTCTCGACGTCATTTGGTATTTTCGTCGCGAATCGTTTAGTTCTTCTCCAACTCCGCCAGAATCTTCTCACCCTTCTCCTTGGCCGAGGCGAAGTCACCGACCATGTAGAAGGCACCCTCGGGAAGGTTGTCACCCTCACCAGAGAGAATGGCCTTGAAGGAGGAGATGGTCTCCTTCAGGTCGACCAACTTACCCTCGATACCAGTGAAAACCTGGGCGACGGTGAAGGGCTGGGACAGGAAACGCTGGATCTTACGGGCACGCTCGACGGTGAGCTTGTCAGCCTCAGAAAGTTCGTCCATACCAAGAATGGCAATGATATCCTGGAGAGACTTGTACTCCTGGAGAATCTGCTGGACGCGGGTGGCGGTGTCGTAGTGGTCCTGGCCGACAATACGGGGGTCCAACATACGAGACTTGGAGTCAAGAGGGTCGACAGCGGGGTAGATACCCAACTCGGAGATACCACGGGACAAGACAGTGGTGGCGTCCAAGTGAGCGAAGGTGGTGGCGGGGGCGGGATCAGTCAAATCGTCAGCAGGGACGTAGACGGCCTGGACGGAAGTAATGGAACCCTTCTTGGTGGTGGTAATACGCTCCTGCATACCACCCATGTCGATGGCGAGGGTGGGCTGGTAACCGACGGCAGAGGGGATACGACCCAGAAGGGCAGACACCTCGGAACCGGCCTGGGTGAAACGGAAAATGTTGTCAATGAAGAGCAACACTGGGGAATTTGTTAGCAATTGTGTCAATATCAAGAAGGGCAGATTCTCAACTCACCATCCTGTCCCTCCTCGTCACGGAAGTACTCGGCAATGGTAAGACCAGTCAGGGCAACACGGGCACGGGCACCTGGGGGCTCGTTCATCTGACCGAACACCAAGGCGACCTTGGACTCGCCATCAAGCTGAATGACGGAAGTCTCCTGCATCTCGTGGTACAGATCGTTACCCTCACGGGTACGCTCACCGACACCAGTGAAGACGGAGTAACCACCGTGGGCCTTGGCGATGTTGTTGATCAACTCCTGAATGAAGACGGTCTTGCCGACACCGGCACCACCGAAGAGACCAATCTTTCCACCACGAGCGTAGGGGGCGAGGAGATCGACGACCTTGATACCAGTGACGAGAACCTCGGCGGTGGTGGACTGGTCGATGAACTCAGGGGGCTCGGTGTGAATGGGAAGGCGCTTCTCGGTCTTGATGGGGCCACGCTCGTCAATGGGGTCACCAGTGACGTTAATGATACGGCCAAGAGTCGCGGGACCGACGGGAATGGTGATGGGGGCACCAGTGTCGGTGGCAGGGCGGCCACGGACGAGACCTTCGGTACCTAGGGGGATTGTGAGTACGAGCGCGAAAAAGTTTTTTAGGGGAGGGAATACGAACCGTCCATGGCAATGCAGCGGACGACATTCTCACCCAAGTGTTGCTGTGCAGACGTGTCAGATGAAACTCGACTTTTGCTAATTTGCAGTGGATATTTTTCCAGCCGCCAAAGGTACGTACCGCGACCTCAAGAACCAGCTTCTGGTCGTTGTTTGTCGTCTCGAGGGCGTTCAGAATGGGAGGGAGCTTGGCGGTGTCGAACTTGACTGTATCCACGCGTCAGTATTTGATGATTTCGTGATGGTCGAACCCCTTTGAAGGGTTTTCTTCGGATAGTACGAACCGTCGACGACGGCACCAATGACCTGTTGATTTGTTGTTGTCAGTAACCGACATCGCCCTCGGGTCAACGGAAGGGATGAACGAGGCCATCACTCACCTGGTAAATCTTTCCATCACCGACACCGGCAGTGCTGGCGAATCTGCTGGAGGCAGGGAATCTGAAGGTAGAAGGTCTGATGGCGCGAGGAGCGGTCGCCGCAAAGGAAGGGCGAGCCGCCCGGGCGAAGGAGGAAATGCCGCTGCGAGGGACCGGTTAGCTCAATTGGGGCCAATTGAACACGATATGGTTCAAAAAGTCGATCAGGTAGTTGGTACCAACCTCTTGAACATCTTCACAGATGATTAAGGGCGACTTCGGATGGGAGTGGAGAGGTGATGGTTGAAAGTTGGAGGAGGACTTAGGAGGAAGTGAGCAGTTTTGCTCGGGATGTACGCTTCGTCGGTTAGAGCTTTGCTCGGGGGCGTCACGTGACCGGAATCTGAGTAGGAAAAATTACCTCGCTGCGCTAGTCTCGATTTGGATGAGCTCCTCTCTCCGGGATACACCGGGTCCACGCTCGGGTTCAATTGGAGCACCACAGCCTGGCACGCCTTGGGAGCTTCGTCCTCAGGAAATGACGGGAAACTTTTTTCTTTTGGCCTGGCTCCAAGCTGCCACACTCGGCCTTTCAACCTGGAATAGAAGGATCCCACTCGGCGTGGGGACTGCGGGTGAATCTTGCAAATGTTGGGGCCTTGTTGCCTTTCCCAGGCTCTCCAGGCACTGAAGGAGAGAAAGGACTCCGGTGCGGGCTCCCAATGCCTACGTGTCCCCGATCCCCCGGGTGACGAGAGCCGTCGCCCCCAGGTGCCAGCTTGCATGCACGCCTCAGTCCCTGACTCCCTTCCTCCCCTCCGAACATCGCCATGTCCGTCCGAGCCGAGGTGTCTCCGCCGACAACTTGACATCCGCATTGACTCTCTAACAATAGCTGATAGCTCCACTCGCCATATGCTTCTACCCAAATTCATCATGGCTTTAGTATTCACATGAGTATAAAGTGCAGCAATAATGTTTTTCAGAAACAACCAAGTACTTCACGACTGACGAGGAGCAATGTTTATGCATGAGTATTTCCATTCCCGTGCATCGTTAATCCAGCTCAAGCACCTTGCCAACTCCAGGACTCCTCCGTAACAAAGGAAATGTATATAACATAAGTTCATTGTCTGCGACAGCCTCATGCGCCACTCTGGCCAGCTTCGCGATACTGCTCAAAGGTGACATCCTCTGGCCGAGATCCAGGTTCAGCGTCCTCGTCAGCCATACGCCGCTCCAGTTCCAAACGGCCGTCCTTGCCCCAGTATCCGGCTTTCTCAGTACCCTTTACGCAGCCTTCGGTGATCAAGACGTATGACATCGGCGCATCGAAAATGGGCTCTGCCAAAACTCTCTCCATCTCCATCTTAAGGCCTCGAGCTCCGGTCTCGGCCTTCGCAGCCCGTTCCGCAATTGCATATAAGGCTTTCTGCGTGAAGCGCAGCTTGGAAGGGTATGTTTCGAACAGAGCAGTGTACTGTGCAACCAGAGAGTTGCGCGGCTCAGTCAAAATTCTGTAAAGATCATTCAAGGATAAAGGACTAAGTGCACAGATGTTGTGCACTCGACCAATCAGTTCAGGGATGAACCCAAATGCCTGTAGGTCTACCGGCGTCGTGAGGTCCAAGGGAGTGTATGCTGAGGCTGGTGCCTCGGGGTCAACATGCGGCAGATGCGAGAATGATTGGCGCGGTAAGTCGTGCTGATTGCCGGCGAGACCATGTTTCCCTTTCAGCTCTGAGCCGAAGCCCATGGATGGCTTCGATACTCTCCGTACAATAACCTTGTCGAGACCAACGAAAGCACCACAAAAGACGAACAGAATATTTGTCGTGTCGATTGTGTACTGATCGACTTTGCCCTGGGGCGGAGTCGATTGGGGGGCTGACGTTGAGCTCGAAGAAGTGTAATTTGTTGTAATGGGAGGTGTCGACCGTGACGAGCGGTTGTCCTTGACGTTGATTGTTACTTTGGAGCCTTCGACGAGCTTTAGTAAAGCTTGTTGAACGCCTTCTCCGCCAACGTCGCGTCCATTCATGCTCTCCCTTTTCGCCAGCTTATCAAATTCGTCTAGGACGATGATACCCTGCTCTGTAGCTTTGATGTCGTAATTCGATTCGATCAGCAGTCTCTCTACGCATGTCTCGACATCCTGTCCGATATAGCCGGCCTGGGTGAATCCATTGCAGTCGGATATCGTGAACGGTACGTTGAGCTTTTTGCTTAAAGTTCTATGTCATGTTAGACTTCCGGCAGATAATGAGGGTATCCATGGCAAGCCTACTCTAGTATGTATGTCTTTCCGACGCCGGTAGGGCCGATGAGCAGCAAGTTGCTCTTGTCAATCTTGACTGGAGGAGGGGTTGCAGGTTCCTCGGCAAGATAGGTCCCGTCGAAACCGGTGGACGACTCATAGCCTTCGTCCAGGTGTTGCGCAGATTCAGCATGGCCAGGAAACTCATCTTGGGGCCACTCGTCATCAGCAGGGAAGCGCTGAAAGGCAGATTGACGACCTCGCTGACCTTGAACAGGGTGAATGTCACGCCTCTCGAGAATATCTCTGTCTCGGGCATAGCGTTGCCTCTCGGCCTTTTCCCTCTGGAGTTTCTCCTCGTGTTCCTGATGCCTTCTCCGCCGCACCCCTTGATAGTGGTTGAAGATGGTGGAGCAGATGGTCTTCTTCGCTCGATGTTGGCCGACAACATAGTCGTCTACACGCTTCTTCAGGTCTCGGGGATAGAACTGCGGAACTCCGAAGTTGTTCTTGTTGAACATTGGCCCACGTCCAGTATCACTAGTCGGATCATAACTGCTTGTGAAACCAGAGTTGAAGTCTTGTGTACGTCTTGGGGCGGTTCGAGCCGCGGAGGAGGCGGAGAAGGTGCGCTTAGCGCTCGAGAGGAGTAGGCATCGTACGCAGGTATAGGCCTGCGGCCTCGTGGATAGAGCCATTGTTTCGGGTGCCCGGTCAAGGGACCATAATCAGGTAGCCGCCGTGATTATTTGTCAAGCTCGTCGATGTCGACCGAGGCCTTCGTGCTTGGGGGATGTCCGTAATGATGACGGGGAGTCCGGTGATCGGAGGGGATGTCCTGAGAGTGTGGCTGGCTCGATAGATAGGCCGGATAAGGGACCTTGCTCAGAGCTGTCGGCGGTCGTGTGGCCCGGATGCGGGGTTGACGAGCTGGAGCTCCAGCGCAGCAGCGCTTAGGAGCGGCTAACACTGGGGAAAGCTCCCAGCTATCAGCTCACTATTCAAGAATGGTTTCTAGATTGCTCACCTTCCCAAAGTCAATTCCCATTGCATCGAAGCTTGCGTTAGCTTGATATACCCCGGCCGCGATCACTGGAATCTCTTGGATTCTGCCCTATCTGGGAGTGGTAATCGAACCAGATAGGACCGATCAAGCTCTTTGTGCGAAGGTGCTGTGGCCCATGTCCATGTCTGAGTCTGAGCTGCTCACTGATACATCTAGCAAAATACTGCGAACAGCGGGAATTGTAGACCACTATGGCTGTTCATTGGAGCTGGGAGACAAGGCTGCACATTGAAAATCCGTGGGCAGATATGGGACTGGGATTTTATTGTATTGGAGAGTAATAAAAGCCTGGAGGGCGTTTTGAAAGTTCTAGAAACAGCCGTCTCTAACGGTTTCCCAATGCGGACCGTGAAATTCAACGTCGGTCTACTCTGTCAGAGAGCTCTTTTCTTGACTGTAGCCATGTCAGTTGTCATACCTATCATTATACAGAAATATACAGAAAATTGTGTTGGAGGACTGGTGCATCTGGTGTGAACCACCCGGAACTACGAAGTTGCGCCTCCAGCCCACCCCCAGAGTTCATGTTAGCAGAAAAGCTCCACCACTATGCGTCTGGCATGCAATTCTCAGAGGGCCCACGACGTATCGGTGATGGCATTTGGCGACGATAACGACATATCGGTCCCACCAATGCTGATATTGATAACTCGTACTCGTCTCCCCTGTTCCCCTTTTCTCTTCTTACTGGTTGATGGAGGGCATTACCTATCGACGTTACCCTCTTTTCCTCACCTCGAAGGAGCAAGGTGCAAAAACCGGCAAGCAAGCAACGTCTCCATCAGTCCATCAAGTGAGAAGACGGGGTTGCCGAGCAAATTCAAGTACCAACGCGGAGTTTCAGCCGCTAAGAGAAGTGCCTCAACCTTCAGCGTTCCCTTTTCGCCTTGGACCCAGGCTGGATCAACTGGCAGACTGGATGAGCGCTGTGGGTGTGCCACCCTTCCGGAGGTGGCGATGAGTCCAATCGGCTGCGCGGCGCCTTGGTCGTCCATCAACCCGTTTTGATTCGGCCGGTGAATTTTTTGTTGTTGAGAATTGAGATGCACCAAACAGGCATCCCCAGGGAGGGGTTTTCGAGTGGCGGCAGCATATTTTTTCTCGTTCCTACCTTGCCTTAGCGCCCTGCCACTTCCGATGGAGCAGCAATTCTCGTTGAATTGGTCGCACCAGCCAGACCAACCATCAGTGAGGTGATCAGAGGAAGGCCTGGACCTCTGCCCCGTGGGTACCACTGGTGGTGCTTCCTCCTATCGAGATGTATGGGGTAATACTTTTGGCTACCTTAGCATAGTGTACTGACCGGGCTGCCTTTGCGAGATGCGAGCTCCCAGCTGCGTTGCCCCACGACGTCATATCATGCACAGCGCCAATTGATATACCTTGAGCTCTCCCTTCCCATCTCTAGTTCTGTGGTTTGGAAGGTTAAACCCATCCCAAGCTTATCCCGGCAGTGCGGGGGAATTATCAGGCAATCCAAACAAGACTATCACTGGCATTTGTCCAAAAAAACAATCATCTGTGTTTATTTCTCTCCCTTGCATCTTCCTTCTCGGCACCGTTGACCGACCTCTTCTCTACACCAAATCCAACATCCAACGCTTGATCGAGAACCCCAGACTCGCTCAATTCCTGCAGAGATTGCTCCCAATCTGCGCATTCCTTGCTTAGCTCCAGACCCCTACCGACCTACGTTAGGAAAGGCGTGAAATCTCCATCTAGCTCAGGTACTTGCTTGGCTCTGCCGTCACATAGCTGTCCTACCTTACCTTACCTTACCTCACCTTACTTTACCTCAACATTTTGTGCGGGGAGCTTTCCATTGCTTCCAATCCCACCCCTCGCTGCCTCTTCCTTTCTCACCTTACCCTGCTTCACATTGCCGACCATCTCTGAACGACACCTGACTTGCTTTATCTGCCCTACTTTAGATCGAGTTCAGCTCAAACAACCGCGGTTCTGCCCCGCACCATCAACTTCGTCTTACCACCGCAAGCTCCATCGTCATCAATCAACATGGCCGCTGTTGCTCAGAACTCTGCCAATACCATCGCTCTGGACGGACCTAGCGGTGCTGCCGATGGCTTCCCAACCGACGGCACTGGTAAGCCTCCTGATCAGATTTACTTGTAGGGCCATTGTCTAAAATATGTCAGGCGTTGTTAAGCTCGACCCCTGGCTGTCGCCTTTTCAGGAATCCTTGAAGAGGCGCTACTCCCGCGCTCAGGACTGGATCAAGAAAATCAATGACACTGAAGGTGGGCTCGAGAAGTTCTCCAAGGTAGGTCAAGTGGGCTCGTATTTTCCCTTCCAAGAGCTAAATTGGGTAAATAGGGGACCTCACTCTTTGGATTCAATGTCGACCATGACAACAACATCATTTATCGAGAATGGGCACCCAACGCCACTCAGGCTTTCCTGACTGGTGACTTCAGTGAGTTGAGTCGAATCTGGTGTACTGGCACACGCTGATTAGGTGGCAACAGACAATTGGGACCGGAACTCTCATGAGATGAAGAAGAATGACTTCGGAGTTTTCGAAATTACTCTTCCCGCAAACAGTGGCCAGGCTGCGATCCCTCACAACTCCAAAGTCAAGGTACGCTCATCTCACAGTATTTCTGAGGCGTGGTTGGGCTCACATCATTATAGATCTCCTTGCAACTCCCTAATGGCGAGCGTGTCGACCGGCTCCCTGCGTGGATCAAATACGTGACG